ACCCCAACAACATACTCATCTCATATTAAAAACAACATTCGTTCATCATTGTGCTATTTTGTTATTGATCAAACTGAATTCATATTTAATTTTCTGTCTTTGCATCTGAAATCAATGATCTCGTTTTTTTAAGTCTTAATTAATCAAGTTATCACACGACTGTCTAGTACCAAGAGTCCTTTGGGATACGATAATTGATCTTACCATTTTATATTACTTGTGCGATTCGATATATTTGTCGATTCATTAACATGAAAATAGGGTTGAGTGAATACAAGGAATAAGGGGAAAGGGGCGCTGTTGGAGAAGTGGTTATAAGGATGAGTATAAATATGAGTTTTATAATGAAAAGAGAGTGTGAGGTTGCTGTTGCATAGGTAAGTTACGGGATTATTATATAAGAAAGAGAATGAGAAAAATAAATTAGGGTGGGGTTGTGGAAAGAGAAGGGGAAGAGGAGTTAGGTTAGTCTTGCATGATTGCTATTAAGTGTTTTGTTTTGCAATTTTGGGTCATTAAAGTTGGGCTACAATGATTCACGTTGTTGTGGATGCAAGGCAAAATGGGAGTGTGCATTGTTTTTTTTTTTTTTTAATTTGATGCATTTGTGGGGCCCGCGGCTTTAAGTGGTGGAAAGAAAGAGAGAGAAACTTTGTTTTATATTTATGTTAGTTACGTGAGATTGGAAGTTGGTTTTAAAAAAAAAAAACTTATGTTAGATATAATATTTTTACATTATATGGAGAAATATTTTAAGTCTATTATAACTATGTTATATTTTTTTTTTACGTAAAGGGATATTTCATTTTTCATGCACAGTTTTATTCATATACTAATATTTTATAGTTATGCCATTTAATTATACGGCATGATTAACTACGTGTGATCCTTTGTTTTATTTTTCTGTAAATATTCTCTATAACTTAATGGATAATTATGTTTTTTCTTTTCATGCTATACACTTGTAGTTTTGCGTATTTACTAAAATATTCAACATGTTTAGATGTTAACTTTATTTAATAATTAAAATTTGATTTAAACTCTCGTTTGGTCATCGTATTTGTGGTAATCTCAAGTGAGTCATCGCTTTTTTTTCGGTCTCAATCGGATCCATAAACTTGTAAAAATGAACCAAATAAGTCCTCTCCGTTAAGTTATCAAGTTATTATTGACGCCGTCTAACTATGATGACGTGGTGCACACATATTATACATCTTATATGACGTGGAATTTTTTATTTAATTTGTTATTTGTAATGGATTGGGGCTTTTGATTATGTACTTTCATTGATGGGTCCAAAACCTTGCACCAATCCCACCGCCCTCCTCCAACCGCCACACACTTCACCCTCGCTACTTCTGCCGCGGAAACCGTCGTTTCCCAAGAAGAAAACATAGGGTAAGTTACAGATCTACACAAGACTAGGAAACAAAAACACTACTTTGGGTTTGATGAATTTGGACAAAGGGACTTCAACCATAAAACTAAAATGACCAGGAAATTTTCAATAGATGTTAATGTGTTATTGATAATAACCAGGCCTAACCTTAGGGGATACCGACAAAATCCCATTTGACCAAATGGGAGCTTTTTGATTCTAAGTGTGGAAGTTGCCAATACTCTGTTCGTGCCCATCTTCTCTACCAGGAGATATGTTTGACGCATGTGCATCATCATCTTCATTCCCTTCCCCATCTTCTTCTTCTTCCTCACGATCAGAAGGCTTTTGTTCACCCCATTTGCTTAACCTAACTTCCATCACCTTAGGCCCACCTTCATAATCAACCCAAGCATTGAACTTTTCCCATTATTGAGAACCAGACCCACATAGGAAGCATTCGCAACAGCCAGGGACAAGTGGCTTCCGACACCGATGCCAACGTCGCTCAAGTTGGGATCTCCTACATTTTCATCCTTGGACTTGACGAACTCAACAGCGACGAATCCGAACCATTGGCGGAAGCGGCGGTGAGGACAAATAGGACGTTGTCACCATTGCCGGAGATGGAGAAGGAGAATTCGGTGGAGAGGGTGGTAGTGGAGTCGACGAAGACAAGGGGCTCGGGGACACGGAGGAAGAAAGGGAGGGATTAGTGAGGTGCACGTGGAACACTTCGCCGGTGAGATCCAGTCAAGAAATCTTTCCGGCAGTCGAGGTCAGCGGGTACCAGAGGAGAAGAGGCCGCGGCCGGTGGGGCGATTAGGGTTTCAACTCCCTTTTCACAATCTCTGCTTCTTGATTTAGTCTTGACAAATATAAAAATTTTACACATCTACATGGAATTATTATTGGACAACAGATCACTAATTCAATTTAATACACAATACCACGTCATGAAAAAAAAATTACAGCTCAACATTTGTTAAACGTCGTATGTGCAAACTTAACGGAGAGGGCTTAATTGAATCAATTTTTTAAATATTTGGACTCAATTGACTCATTTTTACAAGTTTATGGACCTGATTGAGACCGAAAAAAAAGCAATGACCCACTTGAGATTGACACACAAATACGAGGACCAAATGATGGTTTAAACCTTAAAATTTTGTGTATTATCTAATATGTTGAAAATTGTGTATTAACCTGTTTGAATTAGAGATAAACAGTTATTTTAGACATTTTTATATCAAGAGGTTGGTTGGTTACTATGTGTAATGAGACTACGTATTAAGACTGAGATACGAGATTTGTGATTTGTGAGTTAATGTATAGTATTGAGACTATGCATGAAATGTAATGAGAATTGCGTTATAAATTTTATTATTGATGAACATTGCATATTATTGAGTTTATGTATGAAATATAGTGAGATAGGGTTATAAATTTTATTATTTATTTAAAGCTAGAGCAATGAACGTATGTTTTGGTGAAACGTGTGATTAATACATTTTAGGAATATGTATGGAAGTGTGGTATGAGCATGAAACTATGTTATTTCCTTGTACTGTCGTCAGTCATGTGTGAGTTTTTCGTACTGCGCTACGTTAAGAATGTGTTGGACTCTCGTTTAGAGATAGTGATTCGAGTGTCACTTCCTTCTGCGCGGGGAGGTGGATGTCTCGCCCAAAAGGCTTCGGCTCGTGCTGAGTATAGTGCGCGTAGTGCCAGTGTTTTTACTCGTTAGTCCTTGAGAAGTCGGGGAGATAGGTCGGAAGTTGCGATGGAAGACGACTCGAATTGTCCTGTTAGTGAGAACAGGGTTCCTGTTAGTGATAACAGGTTATGACGACGCAGTATAAGAAAACGACATTGGTTCATGAATGGCTCGACTGTGATGATAATATTGTGATGGAATATGTTTATGTGTTATATTACTTTGTGGTTAAAGTGAATTTTTTGTTGTATGTTATGATATTTTTGGTTTCTCACCCTGAAATGTTGTGCTTGTGGTTTCCACCTACGATGATCGTACTTGTACGAGAGTAGATGGCGTTGCAGATAAAACTGGATCGAAGTAGCTGACGTGAGAGTTGGGATATTTTATTTCGGGAATGATTGGTTATTCCATTTAAAAGTTTTCAGACTTCATATTTTTATTGTAAAAGAGATTATTTGAGATTCTCATTTTGAACAAACAACGTTTATTATTATGTTTTTCTTCCGCATTGTAATCGAATAAAGTTTGGTTATCCGAAATAAATTTTTTATAGAAAATTTTAAAAAAAAATTTTACACCGTGACATCTCAAAAATCGGGGTGTTGCAAGCATCATCTATATCTACATCTTCAACCTCATGTACGTCCTCATCCTCACTCTCGTCTACATCATCATCCTCTCCTTATAAATCCTCAAGCTCAAAATCATGTACCTCATGTACCTCAGCCTCCTCTACATCTTGGACCTCAGCATCCGTACATCATGACCTTGGTCTTCACCCTCACCATATCCCATTTCTCTTTCAACTTCCCCATGACCAACAACCTCACCCTTCACCATTTCTCTTTCAACTTGACCATCACCAACAATGTGACCTTCCACCATTTCTCTTTCAACTTGACCATCATACTAGTAAAAATTATACTTTTTATAGCAATATTTTATACCTGATAAAATCTACTACATATAAAAAGTGACGTGGTGGTAATTTTGTAAATATGATAAATTTTTTTACACCATTTATAATAAAAATAGGTATAAAAAGTAATGTAATGGCAATATGGTAATAAAATACAAATAGTTTTATATCGGTTAGAATGGTATAAAAATTTTCTGGGTGTTGCTCCCTCCACCTCCACAGCCTTCTCCCTCCACCTCCCCAATTATCTTTAATTCCAATTATATCCTTAAAGTTAAAATTTTTTATTTTTTTTATTTTATTATTTTAATATTTTAATATTTAAATATAAACTAATATAAATATACATTATTAAAATACATTAAAAAGATATTCAAAAATAATAAATCAAAATATTAAAATATCTAATAAAATAATAACAGAAACACAAAATTAAAACAAAGCTTAAACGGATGACATCCTTCAACGGATGTCAACATCCGTTTAAGGCGAAACGGAACGGATGTTGACATCCGTTGAAGGATGTCATCCGTTTAGGCTTCGTTTTCATTTTACGTTTTAGGGTTAAAGGATTATTGGAAAGATTATTGGAAGGATTATTGGAAGGGTTTAGGGTTTAGGGTTTAGGATTATTGGAAGGATTATGACTACGTACCTGGAGAGGAACCACGACAAGCACATTACACCACAAACGCACTGCACCACGTACTGCACCGAAAGCAAGAGGAAGATTGCTTGATAATTCTTTTCACGATCACTGAGCTTTGCAGAAAAATATTTTACTCATACAAGGAACTACGTAGGTTATCAATGAAATATGTTATAAATGAGTAAAATTAAAAAACAATAATTCTAAAAATATAATTTTACTGAGGGGCAAAATAGTAAAGAGGAGGTGGAAGGAGAAGGCTGTGGTGGTGGAGGGAGCAACACCCAAATTTTCTTTTACACCGGTTAACTTTAGAAGAGTTATGGATTACTATACATTTCTTTTCCGTTTCGCAGTACTTTCTCTTCATCCTCTACGCAATTTCTTTTTGGTTCTTCTCTTCTATTGTCAAATTTCTTTTCCAATCTCCCTCTCTTGTACTCCCTCTCCTGTTCTCCCTCCTTCCTTCTCCTTCATTCTCCTTCATTCATTCTCCTGCCATAGCTCTCGTTCGATCGCTGCTTCCGCTGATGGCACACTTTCAATCTTCGATTCTCGCGATCCATCTTCTTCTTCCTCCCTCCGCTCTACTTTCAAATCTAGGGTTTGTCTTCTATGTTCTTTCCTATTTTTCCTTTTATTCTTATTAAATCTGTAATTCGGACTATATTAAGTTTTACTGAAACGCTAATGAATTAATAAATCGTGAGTTTTATGTGTATACGTTGTTATATATTATTGTTATTTACAAACAGACCCTGTAGGATAATTGTTCACTTTAACATGGTCATTCCTTATTGTTCTCTCTGTGGTTTCTAAAGGTTCTCGAAGGAAACATCGTGAAGATTGTTTGGGTTCCGCCAGAGTACGGTGATGCAGTCGCATGTATTTCCGTCGATGGAATTGTGTCATTGTGGGAGGAGGTTGCATAAGGTATCATTGATTGGGTTTTTTTAGAGTTGAATCAATGTGCTTCTTATGGCAAGCATTTAATGGCTTAAGCTTTGGAACCGAGTTCGCACTAACTATTAAATTTCTTGTTGGAAAATAGGATCTGGTTGCAATTTTTTACGGCATGTTGTGTTTATTGTTTAGTGGGGAGTTTTGCATATTCTTTACGACTTAGTTTTAAATCCAGTTTCTTAGTTTTCGTTGAGTGATTTCGTCAACATGTTTTTTTCATTCAATGTGTTACTTTGTGGAATCTTGTTCAGTTAATTTTGAAATTCTGAAAGTCGATATGTAAATTCTCAGTCTCTTCATAGTTTTTCAATTTCTTGGAATATGAGGAATTGGGATTCCATGTTGTGGGTCATTCTGTCTTTGTAATTATTTCTTTTGTGCTTTTACATGAATTCTGACATGTGAAGGGTTAAAGTGAGTTTGTGAACAAAAAAAATAATACTTTTGGTGTTAGTGTAATTGGAATGCTCCATTGGCAATGGCTTGCATGAGAAGCCTAGTAAGGTTGTGTTGGTTCTGATTCCGGGATTTGTGAGGTATTTATTGTTGAGTTGAAGATATGGTAACAGTTGAAGTTGAGCCATAGGAATATAAGAGTTTATAAAATGAATAAAGATAGGTATAATTGAAGTATTGATCCTTAATTAAAATATGTATGAATAAATTAGGCAGAAAACCGATAATTAGAAAGATAATTTTGGATTGATGTTCCAGTTTTATCCTCATACCAAAATTGTACCGAGTAGTTGTTACAATAGATTCGTCTTTTGGATGATGAAATGTACCGTTGTTCCTCCCATTTGGCTTCAGCTTTTTCTTGAAAAAGAAACAGAGCATCAATATAAATATTCTTAGTTAAGGAGAAAGACAAGCAGAAGCATGTTTTCTTGGTCCCAAAGATCCGAGACTATTCGATGATAAAGATATGAATGTTTATAAATTTTGATTTTTTTCCCTTGAAAACTAATGGGAGGTAATCCAGGATCACCCTATTCTCTATTGACAGGACTTAATTGCAACTGGAGGTATTGATACAAATGTCCTACGCTGATTAGAGACGTAGATCCTTGGAGTTTGAAGTTGGGGATCATGTCTTCCTCCGAGTGACTCCTACTACTCGGTGTGGGAAGAGTTATTTGTGCTAGGAAGTTATCTCCTAGGTACCTTGGTCCTTATCAGATTCTGAGACGTATAGGATAAGTTGCCTATGAGATAGCCATGCCACTCCAGCTTGCAAACCTTCATCCAGTGTTCCAAATGCTGTTATTTTTGACCGACCTTTCAAGACAGATATTATCTACACTAAGTGGTCACTCCAAAAAGGTTTTATTTCAGTTGGAATTGCTGGAGTTATCTTTTCTTTAATTTTTTTTTCTGATTGTGGGTGCTTTTGGTAGGTGACCAGTGTAAAGTTTGTAGCTTAGGGTGAATCATTCTTAACTGGTTCAGCAGATAAGGTTGGAAGTGTTTTATTTGGGGTCTTTTTGGATGAATATATTCAAATAATAGTGTAAGCACTTGCATATGAGTTGTTGTTTTTTTCATCAAAAGGGTAATAGGGTTACACTGTTTTTATATAAGTTTGTTGGTTGTTCTCATAAGTTATTATGGCTAGATTGTTGAAATAATAAGGTGAAAGAAAAAAGTCAAATGGACATATCATATGCTGTCAAGAACACTTAGTCGACTTGTGATAAGAAAAGTCCAAATAAGTTGTTCCAAATGGGCCTTGATAACCCTCTCTGCCCAAGTTCTGACATCATATAACATCACAAGAATGTTCCATCCATGCATTGCTACATTATTTGTTCTCATAATGAATATTCTTTTTAGGTTTAATAGCTTATTTTGTTCCTAGTTTGGCTGAATTTTGTCAATTAAGTCCTTCATTTTAAAAGTGTGTTAAATTGATCTTTATTTAGTAAATTTTGCATTAACGTCGTCTCTTCCGTTAAATACGTACAAACGACGTTAACTTTTTTCTCTTTCCTCTGTTCTTTTGTAACACAACACAGCAGACCTTTCTTTTTCTTTTGTTAGTGCTATCTTTTCATATTTTTGCAAATCCCAAAACCTTTTCATTGCACCACTACCACTTACCCCGCACTTAGTTTTATTTTTTTCACTCTTCAAAACTTCTCATATCTTATTCCTCAGTTGGAAATTTTATATCTGTTAAGAATAAAATTATTTGATAATCTAAATAATCGCAAATTTTATTTTATAACTCATTTATATATATTGAGTTAAGTTTAAATATCTTTTAACATAGTATTACATAAGTATTTATCATAATGAAATTAATGATATTAAAGTTTATTGTAATGAAATTGATTATTAACTAAGATTATTTTTACTTGTTATTTGGGATCACCCAGCTATGATATTAAATATTCTTTTTCATATCAAATATTTGACAATTTTATATTTATTTTGTTGGATTTTTTATATAAAAATTGCTTACAAAGTTTTATAAATTTTTTATGTTATCAAATTGTTTAAAAATAATTATAAACTTTTTTCTGAATTCTTGTATTTTTTTAATCAAACACCTTCACTCTCACTTTTCTTTCTGTAATTTTTCTCTTATTTTGAGTCTTCCAAATTCATCTCTATTAATTTTATAAAATAATATAAAATTTCTTCGTATATCAACAATAATATTTACATATAGAAACAAAACAAATATATAATTAATTTAATTAAAAATGAAATATAGTTTTCATAAATAATATAAATATGAAAAATATATTCTTAACTAAAAATGTAATCATACTACATAATCTATATCAATATTATAATTATAATTTGTTATCTTTTTCTACCTTTTAGTTCCTTTGTTATATACTAAAACTAATTGATCAAAGCTAAAAGATTTTTTTTTTAATTATACTATCCTAAATTCATTTTGTTTTTTTATTTAGTTATATTATCTCAAATTAAACCGACATACATCGATACAGTATTATTTCGTTAAGAAAAATCATTTTAATTTTAGCTATACTTTTTCATATTTCTTAAAATTTATAATAATAATAAATATTGTTATTTTTATTTAATAACTAAGTGGAATAATGAAAGAGCAAACTCAAGTATAATATTTAAAAGTTTTTAATTTTAGTTGAACAATTTTAATCATGCATTTAATGACAAGACATAGTATGAAGGTAGGTTGAAAAGTAATAAAAATGTGAAGGAATATTTTTCTACATGATTTAAAAGGAATGTCTTGAATTACAACTTTTTTTGGTATTGCAAAAGTATGAAAAGAAAACACTTGACAAAAGAAAGAGAAAGGTATGTTGTGTTACAGAAGAGAACAGAGTAGAAAGAGAAAAAAATTAACATTGTTTGTTACGGAAGGAACGACATTAACACAAAATTTACTAAGTGAGAATCAATTTAACACATTTTTAAAAAAAATGACTTAATTAACAAAATTACACAAAACCAAGGACAAAATAAACTATTAAACCTTCTTTTTACTTTGGCAACATGATTTATTTGTAAGTGTGAAATCCAAAACACTTAGAAATTTAAAGTGTGTAGTATATTGCTAAGACTGATTCTTGATACGGTTGAATTTTTAAAGCAACCCAAGCCACATATGACCTCATTAATGCGAATAATTAATGTAAAATAAACTAGAATGTCAAAATTAAAAGTAAGTCATTCAACTAAATAGATCCTACTATCGCGTTATATATATATATATATATATATATATATATAAAAGAATTAAAAAAAATTAATTTTACTTTACATATTTGAAATGTTTTGAAGCATTAAAAACATAAATATGTGTCAAAGTGAAAAATACTATCTTTTTCACAAGTGAAAACTAATTATATATAAACTTAATATTACTTCAGAGTTTAGCACACAATTCAATACTTGATACCAGATTAAGGTATTGAACTATATATTAACCTCTTAAACTAAATACCGAATTATTTGAGCCAATAATCTCTGCCAAGTTCTCAAAAAAAAGTTATTTCTAAAATTTCATAAAATTTTTAAACCAAACCAGAAAACTTATATTTACATTTTGTTCATATTCTTACTCATCCTTTATAAGAATTATCTTATTCATATAGTTTGTCTGGTAATGATAACAATAAATTTTATTCATAAATTACACATCAGCCGCTTTCCATCCTGATGGTCTAATCCTTGGAACTAGCACCACAGAATCTCTTGTTAAGATTTGGGATGTAGAAAGTCAGGTAAACAGTTTTCTTTTACTTTGTTTGAATTTAAATTTTAGTATTTACTGTTATTTGTGTTGATACCTTCTTTCATTGGTTGTAGGCAAATGTTGCTAGGTTCGATGGACATGCTCGTCAAGTAACTGCCATTTCATTTTTTGAGAATGGATACTTCTTGCTGTAGGTGAGAAATTGTTAACTGTAAAAATATGATATGATTGTTTGTAAGTATTCTTATTCTACTCTTAAATTCGGCAGAGTGCTGCTTATGATGGTGTTAAGCTTTGGGATCTACGAAAATTGAAGAACTTTAGGAATTTTGCTCCATATGATTCGGACACACCAACAATGGTATTCATCTTCAGTTGTCGATGGTCTTATGTAACCTATTTATGTACTAGTAAAGTTATACCCGTTTTAAAATGTCTTGATGTAATTATGTATTTTGCAGTGGAGTTCGACCATAGTGGATCTCTATTGGTGGCTCAAATATTTTTTTTAAAACTTGACTCAAATTATTCATTAAGTAGATATTTGATGATACGTTTCCAATGGAACAACATATTATAAAAGATATTTGGGAGGAGTGAGTTACATTTTTTTTAACTGTTTGTAGATGATTAGATGTTTAAATATAATATTTTGAGTTGAAGAATTATTTTATGTGTAATTACGTTATGTAAATATATTTAGGAATTTTGTTAAGTAAATATTACATTGAGAAACTATTTTGATGTTTTAATAATAGAAATAATATTGATTATTTTGCTTGTTATTGATTATTCAGACTATATTGTGGGTTCAGGTCTAGATATAGATAATATCACATACAAATTAAATATTATAAAAAGAAACGACACTTTTTATACCTGTTCTAGCATTAACAGGCATAGAAGTATTTTCTAAAAAATGTTTTTGTACCTGTTCTCATAAATCAGGTATAAAAAGTCATACTTTTATACTTGTTCTGCGAAAAGCGATACAGAAAATGACTTTTTATGCATACTTTAAAACAAGTATAAAAAGCATAAACTTTCTATATCTCCTATTTGTATACCTGCTTGACCACCAGTGTAAAAAGTCTTTTTTAACAAGTATAAAATGTCTTTTTTGGGATAGTGTCACCAACAACCTGACCCTCCACCATTTCTCTTTTAACTTCACCATCACCAACAACCTCACCTTCCACCATTTCTCTTGAATCATCACCTTCACATGAACATGAGCATCAACCCAATCAATCATTTTTCTTATTTCTAGTTCCATGGTATTATGAACCACATAGAGATGAACTTCATCATTTAACCTTGCAATGTTCAACATATGCATGGCACCATTATCATGAGTTAATAATTTTAACCTATCGGGGCCCACAGACTAACCTCCTCTACTATACCAAAGTTCTTTCACGTGAATATGACCTAAGTCTTTCACTGAAGCTACTATGCCAAAATAGCTCCACGTGTCTGGATCACAAGACCATTCTACTCTCTCTCCATCAAATTTTAACATCCCATCCTTATCATCACTAACAAAATGTCCAGTATGGTGGACAACAACTTTAATACGTTCATCATCCATATCAACAAGTTGCTTTTAATTCCTGTACATTATGGGGGGAATGATTATTATTACACTCACTCACTATCCAAACACTCATACAGACATGGGATAGGGGAACAAAGTAACATCCCCACTAAGGAAACACTCATAGACGATAGGGGACCACTACTTGTAAACAATTCGAAAAAAATAAATCGGGACCACATTGTCTACACAAACACAATTGAACATGCATAATGGGGACCACAAATCATTATAAATAGTCATACACAACAACACAAAAACTCATCCATAAACGAAGACGCACATGTTCGTAAAACCAAAAACCCATGAACGATTTATACGTCCAAACAGAAAACCAAACACGAAACGAAACTAACTAACCTTAACTCGCGTCAACTATCAGTTCGATTCTCTTCGTCTTGTCCAAGATTGCAGTTCCTCTTCGTCTTCGTCTCACACTGAGCAAATGAAATCCCTAATTCCAATATAAAATCCCTAATTCTCACACTGAAGAAATGAAATCCCTAATTCAATTAAAGTAAACAATAAACATTGTGCCACGTCAATCATTATTTATTTAAATAAAAAAATCCACATCAACATATAATACACATCAACACATTATATGTGCAACACGTCAGCTCAACTTAATGTCGTCTGGGACAACTTAACGGATAGGATAAAATTGACTCATTTTTACAAATATTATGATTCAATTGAGACAGTTTCAAATATGAAGACTCAAGTGATATTCTCATACAAATATGAGGACCATCCGAGGGTTTAAACCTAAATTTAACTAAGAGAAATAATTAATGATTTATTTTTTCCTGTGAACTCTTATGAAACAAGATTATCAAATATAATTTTAATATATGTTAAAAATGTCATTAGTTTTTTTTTGGACTTAAAAGTTCATAATATATTTTGTCATAGTAGAATAAAAATATTAATTATTTTTACATTATTTTTTATTTCATATTTTCTTTCACAATTTTGATTCCACCTAAAATTTACTTATATTTTTTTATTTTAATAAAAATTAA